CTGGTGTGTCGGATTGTGTTCACCTGTTGCCCTTGTCTTTCTGCCTCCCCTGCCCAGCTGTGTCTTGTCCTGTGATTACCCTTCTGTGTATTTAGTCTTGTCTTCCCCTGTGCTCCTTGTCTGTTCGTCGTCTCTTCATGTCCTTGTTCCCTGATCGTCTATGCTTGTCCATGTTACCTGCTGTTTTTGAAGTCCATGTTAGCTGCCCGTTTTTGTCCATGTTCCTGGCTGCTTGTAAGTTTGTTCTTGTCGTGCTCCCCGGTTTTGTTTATGTTAAAGGGGACCTATCATGCAAAATGCACTTTTGTACGTCTTTTATACATGAATATGTGTCTCCGGTGTGTCAGGGAACTCACCAAGTGTCAGAAAACACAACCCTCTCTCTTTCTCTCCATACCCAAATCTCTAAAAACAGGGCTGCAACGGAGCTGATACAGATTTGAAATTGTTCTGACGTCAGAAACGGGGAGCTCCGCCTATATGGGCAACTTTCCACCTATCAGGGGAATGGGGGGTTGGGCCACGGCCACTGCCGCTCGAAAGCGCTGGAGACGCTGTAGTACATATGCCAGGCCTGTAAGTGGCGCTGTAGTCTGCCACAAAAGCAGCGAAGAAGACTTCTCACAGAATCAATCCTTGTAAAGAGGCTCAGGAGGCCACTCTTTCACATGCACGCCGGAAAGTGGCAGATAAGCCCTGGCTGGGAAGCTCACTGCCAGAAATGTTGAGGACATTTGTGACTTCCCCAGACAGTCCCAACCTGCCTCAAACCCCGTGCCCCAGCAGCCAAGCTTTCGGCTACGGCCCCAGCACCCAATCGACCGGCCCGAGCCCAAGCGGCCTTGGTTCCAGCTCCAGTTCCGGCCCCAGTTCTGGCCCCAGCAGCCATGGTTCCAGCCCCAGTTCTGGCCCCGGCAGCCATGGTTCCAGCCCCAGTTCTGGCCCCGGCAGCCATGGTTCCGGACCCAGTTCTGGCCCCAGCAGCCATGGTTCCGGCCCCAGTTCTGGCCCCAGCAGCCATGTTTCCGGCTCCAGTTTCGGCTTCAGTACTGGCTCTCCGGCCAACGCCAGCCCCCCGTGTCCTGTCGGCGTTCTGACCGACACCAGTTCCCCGTGTCCTGTCGGCGTTCCGGCCCTCTCAAGTCCCTTCTCAAGTCCCTTCTCAAGTCCCTTCTCAAGTCCCTTCTCAAGTCCCTTCTCAAGTCCCTTCTCTAGTCCCCACTCAAGTTCCTGCCGACACCATGTCCTGTCCTGTTGGAGGTCCCGTCGACACCTGTTCTGCCGGGGTTCCTGCCAACACCAGCCCTTGTTTCGTCAGGAACACCTGTCCCGGCAACACCGGTGACTATCCCGCCGACACCGTGTCCTGTTCCGTCGGGGATCCCACTGACACCAGCCCATGTTCCGTCGAGGATCCCGTCTACGCCTGTCCCGCCGGCTCCGGTTCCTGTCCAGCCGACACCGGGTCCTGCCCGTCCTCCGGAGCTGTCCCGTCGGCGCCTTCCTGCCTGTCCTCCGGAGCTGTCCCGTCGCCACCTTCTTGCCCGTCCTTGTGCCCGGCCTCCTGAGTTCCCAAGTGGCTTTCGCCCTCGAGCCCGGCCCCCTGACTTTCGCTGCCGCGGCTTTCGCCCTTGAGCCCAGCCCCTTGACTCTCCCAGCCGCTGCCTTCGCCCTCGTGCCCGGCCCCCCTGAGTCCAAACCCGTCCTCCAGACCCACTCCACCCACCCTTTTGGCCGTAGTTATGCAGCTTATGTTGATTTCTTCAAACATGACCCAAGACTTTTTCTCTAACTATAAGCAAGTAGTTTTACAGATCAGGTGGTATGACACATTTGAATGAATCTCCGGAATGTCAACTGCAAAGTAACTTGAACACTTGTTCCACTTCTACATACGAGTTAACATTTATGAATGCATAAGCAGCAGAACAGATGACATTTCTCACAGGGGAGAACATGCAGGAGGAGAGCGGTGTCTCTGAGCTGCACTGGTGCACACACAGATGGGAAGAAGGTAGTAAAGGGTAAATAGGACTCATACACTGGTTTTACATTCAGTTAAGAACTTGGTGATTTCTGCAGTGATCTAATCTTATGATATTGTGACCTCGTTCTTGGTCATAGGCTGAAATAACTATTTCTATTTTTTTCTTCCAAAACAGTTATTGTGGAGCATGAGAAGTTCTAATATAGTATTTCATGCTTGAATAACATTTGCATCATTAGCCTTTAAAACCAAATGCATTTTTTTCTTCTTTAAACTATTGGAAGCTTGCAACAACAAGAAAATTATGTTAAATTAATCTGCTTTTAGCATTTTCCTCCATTATTTTAAAGCACCTATCAGTGTCTTTTACGAGTTGAGGCTGGGTGGCCACACACTATGCAGCCCCTCTGATTCATTCGTCTTGTTTAAAAGTATTCCTGGCCTGAGTGGAGGAGATGGCAGCATTTGGAAACAATCTAAAACAAGCAGCAATCGCAATCCAAACTCTGTCACTTGACTCCCAACCCATCCTTCCCAGCAGCATCAATAAGAAGCTGCAAAGAGACAAACACAGGGCTGGCAAGCTAATCCAGGGATCACATTGTGAATCACAAATGCATGTCCCCCCCCCCCCCCCCCCCCCCCCCCCGCCCCTCTCATATCCACAGCCAGACAGAAATAGCTGGCTTTGGCACTGCCATAATTTTGCCTCTCTCCTTCTGCGCTCCCTGTTCATCCCTCCTCCCTATTCATTTCAAAGTCGGGGGGCTGAAGTTATTGCATGTGACACACTCAGGAGGAAAGGGCGGGGGAAGAGGGCCGGGTGGTATTGCATTACTCCACAAAGCCGAATGCCATGAGATGTATCTCTCGCTGCTTAATAACAGTGGAATTATTTAAAATAGAAGCAGCAGCGGTGGAATATTTCAAAATCTATATTTAGATTGGGAGTGATGCGCCTCACCCTCACAGCTCTTGTGGGATTTGCATGGGAGACATGGAAATGCATCAGGGTGGAGATCAATCTAGCCATGCAGAAAGATGCTCTTTTCCCATGAATAGGCTGAGATTTCTTTTTTTATCGAGATAACGTTCACAGTGACCATTTCAGCATAAAAGTAAAGAATAATCTCAAAGGATTCAGAAAGTAAGATAAAAAGTGAATTTCTCTTTGTACTACCTTTTTTCAAGCAATCTATTTTTAGCATTTCACTACACCTGCTGGATACATTTACTATTCATCCCTTCACTAACTAATAACCTGAGTCCCAGCTTGCTTTGGGTCTGCAAACTTCAAACATTATTACCTTCCAGGAGCTTGTCGCAGCAAATTGCATTGATTAGCTGGCTCTAAATCAGTTGCAAATTACATTTGCCCTGCATTGCTTCGCTAAGCATATAGCTGCACATGATTGCAACTAAATTGCAATTAGCCAATGCCCCAAGCACCCAAGAGGAAGACATAATGGTAGATTCATGTAAATCAATGGTATGTGGGTGTTGTACAGAGTCTGTTGGAATAATGAGGTGCTTCAGAGTTGGCAAAGAATGTAAATGCTTTTTTTATTTGACAAAATATAATGGATTGATTTTTACTTATGCAGTGTATAACCAGACAAAGCTATTATCTCTACATGCTTTATAACACTGTATATTCATGAGATTCTTGGTACACCAAAGAAATAAAGTCTCAGTCTCACATAAGACAAATTCAGTTGTTCGACTCGAGACTTAATATTTGGGTTTTATCCCAAGAAGTCACGGGGCCAAAAGAAACAACCAAAACCAATGCCAAGAGGGAAAATCTCAGAATGCTACTTCTATTGATTTTTTGCTCTATAGTAAGACATCCACTATCTTTATTCAATACTTTGATACTTTCTTTGCTTATACTTTAACCTTTAAACACCCACTGTTCTGTCTGTAGGACACTATCACTATGCAAAACTTTAGAAGGCCGCCAGTATGGAACGTTTTATGAGTATAATCATGCAGTATTGAGCAACTAGACTATTGTCTTTACGCTCATTCTGTTCATTTTAAAGAGAATTTCATAGAAGAGTCTAAGAGAAATCTTGTCTCGCAGTCGAATAATGTAATAAATCATGTACAACTTATTTTCCAAATTCATCGCAATTGTCTGATGTTCAAAGTACTATGGTTGCAACCAACAATTATATCGGTTCATTGGACATTTTGCTTTCCAATTTTCCAAAGGCAAAAGTGAAATCGCTTCTAATATACAACAGCCAAAAACCCATAAATAAACCAAACAAAAAGCATAAAATACACACATTTGACATTTTGCTTGGAAAATGACATAGATTAATTATTTTAGCTCTAAATATAGTCTGATTCTTTAAAATAGATTAACCACACATAAGGGAAATGGCTGTTTAAAGGTTAACAACTGCAAAGTCAGTCAATCAAAATCTAATAATAACTAATACATTTTCTTTTAAATTGACCAGTTTGATGGAGACAAATTGAAAAAGATGTCTCAGATCAAAACTGGGGCTTAAATTCTTAAGGTTAAATAAAATGTATTTGAGTTTATTCTGTATAATGGTCTAAATGAGCGCAGTCTGTATGAAGCAGCACAGCTTGGCTGGTCAACAGATGTTAATGTTGACATGCTGTTGTTCATTGGCCCGCTCTGTGTACAGTCAGCAGGAGGTCACCAACAAGCCCTGGGATGTTTGTCTCTGCCAGTGTTTATCATACCTAGGCTGTGAAAACCATGCTTATCGCAGCTCCATGTGGCTGTCAACAAAACTAAACTTGTATGATTTATGGAGTGAGGTTTGTGCTATCCGACACGGAAAACAGTTCTGCTCTGTGCCACTGACTGAGAAATGAAACTTTGTTCAGTTTTAGAGGAATGAGCGACAGCGCAAACTGAAGGTCAAACTGAATGCCAAGCTCCAGTCAAGAAGAACATTTTGTTTTCAGCACAAAGGAGCATGGCATGAGGTTTATCAGCAAACATGTCAGGAATCGAGCACGGGCTTACCGGAAAGTAGAGAAGCAGAGTTCCACACAGAATGGCCTCCAGTAGGACTAGACCTGATGCTCTGATACTCTGCGAAAAAAGAAATGACACCAATCATTAACCACACTAACTGACTTTTGGCCACTTAGGTATGGGGCAACAACCTGTCAATACAATGTTGTAGTACTATTTCCTTACTATGTACTGTTACTGTGTTAAAAAACGGTGTATTATTTAGCCTGCCAGCATACTGTACATTGAGCAACATTTACATTTCAGGATAAAGACTCTTCAGTAGTCACAGGGATTAATAACCTTTGGCTCCGATTGACACTGTTGGGAATATGACACTGAGAGTGACACTCATTTCGTCCCTTTTCTGGTTTGATGCTATGTGAAGTGTGGTGAAGTTAATAAATAATAAATGGAACCAGCAGCGATTTAGTTAATTGGTTGATGAATCTACATCAAAAACATGCAATTATTAGAATCTTTGCTCAAAGACATCTTGTCAGCAAACATCACATTTACCTCTTGAAAAGCCTATTCAAAATAGATCTAAAAACATGTTTACAGCTCATCTAAAGGGCAATAGTATGGTTGTTTAGCCTCAGTGACTTATTGTTTTGCACTCTCTATTAGTATCCTTGTAACGTTTCTTGACTTAAAGCATTTCTGTAGGACATTAGGTAATGATAAAACCAATTAATTTAGACTCAACAGAAACAAAATAAAATAAATCCAAACAATCTTGGTTAGTCTTTCCGTTTTTCACAATTTGATAGTTTTAAATAGGTTTTTTTAACTGAGAACAGCTCATTACTGGAGGAGTCAACACCAATAGGAGTCAACATTCTACTGAGAATCAATACATTAAAGCAACCACGACAACAAGCTAAAAGAGGCTAAAATGCAACAGAGGCAGGTTTGTTTTGTCCAAAATCTTTACATTTTTACACATGAATGTTTTCCCCTTTTTTACAAAATGTACATAGGGCAGTTTGTGGTATAGCTCTTAAAATGCCCTTCATATTGCAGCAGGTATAAACAAGTCTTTGACAGCGGGGTATCTTTATATTCCAGGATTTAAAATGGGAAGGGAGCTTTGTTGTTTGAAAGAGAACAAAGAACAATGAAAGCCTGTGCCTCAAGGACTTTTTATATGAGGGATCAACATTTTAAGGCTCCTTCTTTGCTCCAATTGAAAAATATATTTAACAGAAATATCACCCTGACAAAATGCTTAATTATTTTAAGAATAAATAAACACAGGCCACATCTATGAACCAGACGAATGTAAGATCTTTTTAAAGTTATATTAAAATCTGCAACCCAAATTAACTCATTTGTTTATGGAAATGAACCAATTTGATTTTATCGCAAAGTTAAATAATCTCTTATATTTAGTTTGATAACATGATTGGGTTATTACACAAGTAGTGTTTAAATGATATGAAACCCCAGGGTGACTTTTATCTTATTTAAAAACGGAAGCAATCCTTTGTTGAACTCTGCGTGATAATGGCAGTCTTCAAGAATGTGGAATGTGGTGAATCTTCAGGCTAATCCTTACATGTCTAATGCTCAAGACAAAGCCTTTAATTAAGCCAATTAATTGACGGTAACATCTAGAGCCTCAGAGGATTTTATAAGTTCGTTCAAAAGTTTACTTAGAAGAAAGTTAATGAATCGCTACTATCACCAACTTTCAGGTAAATTTAGCTCATCAGACTATAAGACAGGGCATTATCCCGCATGATAATGATACATTCAGAAGTATCATTTCACTCTGTTTAGTGCTATTTGTTACATTTGTATTTGCAGTGATGACGTTTTTGCATTTTCGGTAGAAACTGAAGCAATCTGTTGGGAAACTGACGTTTACACCAAGAAAGATAACTATAACACAAACATTCTAAATGTAGAGACTTGATACTTTGCTTTAATGAATATTTAGCTGACTTGTGAAGTGGTTTCACCTTTCGATGTGGGAAAGGCCTCACCTCTAAATTTGATTAAGAGAATATATTATTTCTGAATAAATTAGAAGACACCGTCAGCAAACCTGTGAACTAAATCAACATTTCTCACTGCCACATTCCACAAAAAAGAAAGATTTTAGGACAAAATAATGAAGTACTAGTGATTATTTCAGCTCTGGAAAGTGATATGCCAACATCTTATTAGTATAACTGTGAAGCATGAAGCGGTCAGTGGCCCTATGTATGAATCAAATTAGCTTAAGTGGATGCATTTGCACACACTGGTCTCTTTCCAAGTTGCTGACGTCCACAGTTCCCGAGCTGTTTGAAATGATTTCAAAGCTTTATTTTGACCACCCACATACGGGATTTACTGGTTTATTGATCCAAGTGGCTTTGATGACCATATGGCACAGAAAACATCAAACGCACAACTGTCATGATTTTGTTATTGTGATTTGAATCTGTGTCTCTTTTGCACTGATGAGTTTTAAAACTTTCACTCTTTATGATGACAGTACAAATTCCCTGAAAAACATTGTTGAGTGGCAACCTCTGTCAAAACATATTAATATGGAGGCCCGTTTGTGCCACAGAAAAAAAAAATCCTATTTATGATAAATAATGAGATAGTAAGTCCTAATAATGAAATAGTAAGTCCTAATAATGAGATAGTTAGTCCTAATAATGAGATAGTAAATGATAATAGTGAGATAGTAAGGCATAATTAGGACTTACAGGATCATTTTTCTTCTTTTCTGTGGCGGGATTCCATACATTAATAATGGAATAATAACACAAAAAAAAGCTTAAGCCTCTCTGTAGCAATGGTAGTTCAGTCCCTGTAACAATATCTCATGAATCACTCACAAACCATGTCAGCTTTAATATAATAAATGACAGACTCTGTAAGAGGATGATGTTGTGAGCGTGTAATGATGCATACCTTGTTCCTGCGAAAGTGGTAGACGAGTATCATGCTGACGAAGACGATGAGCATGCAGAGGCACTGGAAGGAGAGCACGGCCATGCGGAGGGGGCCGTCCTCTCGGGCCACGCAGGGGGTGTCGTCCTTGCAGAATGCGCAGCCCTGCTGGCATGGCAGACAGTCGCTGGAAGACCCCTCGTCTGCATTGGGACCGCTCTCTGCAGCTTTTCCCTTTCGTCCCATCCCTGTCAAAAATAAGATAGGAGTTTAATGACTAAATATTCATAAAAGCTTTAACCCAGACCTGTCATTGATCAAGCTTATTCACCTTAGGTAGATATCCTTTTTTGTGTGCTCCAATACAGATTTTTAGCTAGGGCTACATGTATCCCAGGGAAGGAGATCACTTGAATATATATATGTATTCATGTAAAACCTGGCAAACAGGTGTTTAGCTTGAGAATGTGTAAACTGGTTAGAAAGTGTGGAGTGAGCCATAAGGAACAGAAGACATGTTGAAGTTACATAGCTACAAGTTACTGATGAATTAAAACAGTTGTAAGCTAAATCCAATGGACACAGGCTTTAAATAGATAGCCCTAAGTAATGGATAAAAGCTTCAAAAAGTTAGCTTTTGAATTCATTGTTCATTTGACACAAAAAGCAACGAGCAAACGGTTCAATGGTTAATAATAGTACAGTTGTTGCAAAAACATATGCTCAGCTTCAAGTTATGTTTAAATAAAATAGGTCAAAATGTTAAACGGGAATGTAATTAAATACTGTATGTGCTAAAAGAGCTGCTGTGGTGCCAAACGTGGTCAAGTAAAAAAACCTCCTTCCAGGGTAAGCTAAGGTAACAACCAAACAGGGACAAAAAAATGCTAGTGGACATCTTATTGGTTTGCTTTGAAATCCCCTGAGAGACACCCATGTGGTTGGATAGATAACAAATGGTGGCCTTAAATAGAGCTTTTATGGAGGCTTTATTGGAAACAGCCATTGTCTCAGAGATTTGCAGGGATTTTGCCTTTAAAAAGAAACTGGCCTATTTTTCAAAGCTATGACTCTGCAAATCATTGATCCCTTCAAAAGGACTACTTATCTCCGTAGCAATGAGTCATATCCTTCAGCTTTTTCTCATTGGGTTGTTGCCCCTGCAGTTGAGTGACAGTCAAACAAAACTCCAGCAAATCCTCACAATATACACAATGGAAGATCACTGAGAGACAAAGGGAAGAGGGTTGCACTGGCTCTCTCTGCAAAGGAGTGTCAAGGATGTCCCCTTGTGGATTAACAGGCTTGTTATTGGCCCCACGGTGGGCCAGACTGCAGCACTACGCCTCGCTAACAGGCTTGCCTCTCCTCTCTGGACACACACACACACACACACACACACACACACACACACACACACACACACACACACACACACACACACACACACACACACACACACACACACACACACACACACACACACACACACACACACACACACACACACACACACACACACACACACACACACACACACACACACACACACACACACACGAGCACAAACAGGCAGAAGCACACAGCACAGAATTCCATCTTCGGAGATCATTTTTTGCCTTTCTGTGCGTGAAGGGACTATATTTTAGGGTGTAAAATGGGTGCAATAGGATGGTGAGGGAGGGAGGGAAATGAGTGGGAAAAAGGGTAAAATTGAGATAGAAAAAGAGGGCTGTGCTGTATGAGGTTTGAGTGGGATGAGACAGGAGGGAAAGTGGATCGAAATGAAAATGTGAGAGTGATGGAGGGCAGGTGAAAACCACTGGGGTTCTGTGTCTGCAAAGCCTTTTTTAATTAACTCACAGCAGACAGAATAAACTGGAGAAACTAACTACCATTAAAAAGATATTTCCCATCTTGAACCTGATTAGCCTCCACAGGTACTGAGGCTACTTCCATTTTCAGAGAGGGCAGTAACACATGCCCCTTTCATTAACATGCTTATAAAAAGTTATGTACTGTAAGAGCAGGGTGTTTTTTTTTGCTTACAGCTGCTGCCCAAGATACTTATATACAACCTTGAAGCACATGCACAAACTCATAAAATTAGCTCATCTGCTGCAGTATATTTGTTCTAAATGAGAAGAAAAAGGTTGACATGAAACGATCTGTCTCTTCCAAAACAGCCTGCTTTGTTGTTTGAAACCTGTGATGGCAGAAACCTTCAAATAAATGAGATTTCATCAAATAAAACCCTCATAAAAGTGTACATGCATTTCCCATGCAAACCAACATTTATGATTGCATGTCTCAGCTTTGCATGTCAAAATGAATACCTATTATTTCATGACTTCCTAGTGCATTAATGGTTTTGTTTAATCTTAGTTGACCTTGTACAATTAGTTTTCACTTTCATTCACAGTATGTGTATGACTTTCTGAAGAACAAGTGTTATTTGTTACACTAAATGCCAATTCTTGCTCAAACAGTTACATACAGTAAATATCTAAACCTTAAACACCCCCAAAATCCAAGTAAAGCTTATTTATGATTTAGTGGAAACACATTCAAATAAAGGGTTAAACTGTCTGTACTGTTACTGTGGTATCATTACTGTGAAAGAGATTTATACATTTTTTCTCATTGAAAACAGTTGCAGAAAAGCTGAAAATGTAAAGTGTTTTGTCAAATCAAATTGATTGGAAAAGGGTGAGTGATCTGTCAGTGACTTACGTGTAAAGCCGTTGACAGCCACTCTGTTGGGATGGAAGAATCCTTTCTTGCACTGGCATGTGTACTTGTCCAAGACAAATCCATGACCATGGTGAGGCAAACACTGCAAAGAGACAAGAACATATACATCAGCAACACAGAGAGGACATAGGAGGCCATTTTTACTTTTATTTCCTTGATGATAAATAAGTTTGTTGAAAGAATTTTAAACACAACATCTTATAAAGCAGACTGACTAAACACCAGTATAAAAGCAATTAAAAATGTCAATATTAAACCAAAAGTAAAGTCTGGAACGTGGGATCAAACGTCTTGTGGGAAGGACAAGGGTCTAATTATTTAAGTGGTGAGATTCCTCTCTCTGTCTCATCGTGCCTTCTCCACACTCAATATTAAATTAGTAAAGCCGCTTCCATTTGATTGAAAGTCTGATAGGAAACAGACTGAGGGCTGCTGAGAAAAACACGAGGGGCGTCAGGGGGCATCCTTGGCAGACTTTCTGTGCCGTTTGCCAAATTACAAGATATAATTAATATCTTAATTAGGAACAGACTTATTTGCATGATTAAAGGAGAACTATTAATTCTATTTCTTGTTGGAATGAGATTCCATCTTCTCTTGTATGGACACATTTGGGTCATTGCATAAAGCTCAATGTTGTTTTTTCTTGCTCTCGCTCTCTCCCTTAAAAAACGACATAACAGCCAGAGATGATAATGACTTATGAGTCACAAGAAAAGACGAGGGGCCCAGAATAGCAACGGTACTTCTGCCGACACTTGACACGCTATGAAGTGCTTGTGACCTGACTGTGAGAGGCAGGGCCAGTGGCAGCGTCTAAATGGAGCTTCAGTCACTGTGATGCTCTTCACAGGGATCTGGAAGTCTTTAGAGGAAACTATTTCTGACTGTCTCTCAAGGACCTGAGTTCCCCCCAGTTAAAGCCTTGGAGGGGCCGGCCAGGGCTCAAAAGCACAAAGTAATTAACAGGTTACAATTCAGCAAACGTGGTCCTTCAACAGATTCCACTGAAGAGCACAAAGCATTTAAAGTGGCACTACATTCTTGTGTTGAACACGGCTACTTGTTGCAGTGGTGACAGTTTGAAATGGGTTCTTGTGTTCTTAACATCGTAAACCTGTATAGTAATTTGCCACTGCACATTCACACTCCAAATGTGTATTACACCAGCAAGACTTTGGGAAAAAACATGTTGGTTTCTTTTAAGCTACCCTTTCAACACATTGACAATGACAATTGGGCAACAGACTATGGATTGGGTGACAGTAGCTCTAAAAGATGGTGAACACAATGGAGTATTATTAGGCAGTTTAACATGCATATATTTCCCCAGGTAATGGTGGTGATTGAAACTGAGTAAAAAATGGACTTACATTCTAGAAACATGACTTCAAATGAATGCTAAAGTGGCTAACTGTTTGCTGATTGTGGAAATAGGTAAACGTTTGTCACATAAACTGTGTATGAAGATAATACTGTATGTCAATGATGTGTTTGCTCCTTTTTTCCTGTATCTTGGTACTCTATAGATTAAAACCATCAATAATCTACTATATGCTCAAGCTGTAAATAGTTGGTGAGCAATCCAAACTTATGTTCAGTACGTTTTAGTGTGTGTTTTTAACAGCTTCGACATGTTAACCTACGCGGCCAGTCGGGATGTATTAGAAGGTAACTATGATATTGGTAAACCAGCCTTTCTGTGAACAACATTGGATACTTGCAAGATAAATGGGCCACCATATTTGTCATTTTGTTGATCTGTGAATCCGTTCATAAAAATCTGCCTGGCACAGTTTTAGATGAGTCCCGTGGGGCAACGTGACTTCATCTCTGATTGGCCAACAGTCGTCTCCTCAGGACAGGTGGAGCGTGCTGCAGCTACTGCCTGCCACTGTGAATATGCCCACCTCACAGACACATGGAGAAAAAGCCAGAGACAGGTGGGTGCGTATGCTTATTTGTTCATGTGTGTGTGACAGGGAGAGCCAGGAATAGCCATGGCAGTGCATCCCTTCTGCCTGCAGCGGTGATTGATGTGGAGAGTGTTGAACGGGGGGGAACCTGCCTCCCAGCAGCCTGCCATAAGTCACATGTGATGGGAGTGGTCCGGAAAGAAGCCAGAAGGGCCATGAAACGCAGCTTTTGGCCCAGATGTGTAAAAGGTCTCTAAACCGGAGCTGAGTAGTAAACATTTTTTATAATTTATTTATTTTGCAAGATCTGAAATTTAAACAAATATTTCACAAATATGAAAAAAAAAATATATATACTCTTTATCGTTTAATAAGGAAAACTTAAAGGTGCCAATGTATATTTGCTACCACTAGTAGGACTATGAAGAACGTTTCAAGTGGTTCACTGCTTTGTTTATAGAAACAAATCAACTGATCAACAAGAAATGTAAAGAAAATGGCAATGCATGTAAAATGATGTGTGTAAACATTTCAAATTTCCATAAAAATGTATGAGTTTGGAAATGTATGATACAAACTATATTTTCTTTAAGTCCCTGTGTAGCAACATCATATTGTCTCAGACCTATAGATACATAAACTAAACTTTAGAGCCAAAACAACTAGCTGATTAGTCAACAGAAAGTGAGTAAATGGGCAAATATTTAGATATTTAGCTTTTTTCAGGCAAAATTCAGAATCCTTGCTTCTGAATGAGGGGATTTTCTGCTCTTTCTTCCCATATATGTGACAGTAATTGAAATATTGGGTTTATGTTTGGTCAGATAAAACAAGACAAAACGGGGTAACTGTTTTAAAATAAATGATCAATTGAGATCATAATTGGCTGATTACCAATGATGTCATGGTCAATATATGACTACGATATTCTCCAATATATAATATATACATCTGTTACAAGGCAACATACAGTTCACAGAGCACATTTAGACAGTGACCTACTTCTATGCACAAAGCATATGCTATATATTGTGTTTGATTATGTTCTATTCATAGCAAGCCTCTCGGGGAGCCATATTGTTCTTTCCTTAACTTAATGCTTCAAAAGTGCTGTCAGAGCAGAGAAATAACATCACATATACTGAGAGTAAGGCTATATAAAGAATACTGTGTTTTACTGTACAGCATTTATAATTCCTGTTTGCAAAAAGATCCACAATGGTTGCATGAAATATTTGCGCTATAAAAAACGAGTGATAATTAACCTCAATAATAAAAAAAAGAAATGAATGAAAAAAGAAAATGTCTCTTGATGTTTATGTCACTTACCTGTGAATTCAGAGATAAATACATACACAAAATATACCTAATTTATTCTTATACTGTGTGTCTCCATTGCCCCAGGTCCTCCTACCAGCACTACTCACTGTTGTTTACTTGCCAGCTGTGGCAGCTGTCAATCACACGCACTGTGACATACTAATTGCCATGGTGACATGTGTGTGACCGCGAGCGAGAGCCTTTTTATCGGAGTGCGTCACGCTGTCAGGCCAGCATGGTCTACCTGCGACACAGCACTAATAAAAGGGCCACAGGACTCAAAAATAGATATAACACACACTCCCTCCCTCTCTCCTCCCTCTCTCTCTCTGACTCGTGTGCCAGCATCATCTTACATCAGTGGTGTTTGTAGCGTGGTTGTGATCAATTTGTAATTTAATAACGACCTAATGTCAATTAAACTCATATTGAAGCAATAAACAGAAGACATCTCAGCAATGACCCAAGGGAAGTTCATTTGAATACCATATGGCCCAAAGTATGAGTATAGTTGTTGGCTGTATGGCTGGAGCTATTTATCATGTTTTGAGCTGAATGGAATTTGTAATGCTACAGCAATCTTTTATCCTGTTAAGGGGCTTAACATAAAAGATCAATTGTTACCAATCATGAACCCTTGAAATAAATCAATATCTACTTGCAACCCCCATTGTCACAGATGTTTATGAGTTCTGAGAAATGGAACCAAATAGGTGATTGTTCCTCTACCAGGTTGCTCGATTTGAAAATGTTAATAGGGTCTAGTATCGAAAATCATATAAATGTCCCTTTTTCCTAACCTGTAAATTACCCCATGACCCCTTTGATTTCTCTTTCTCCCAGGGGCAGCAGTTAGAGGAAGGCTTAGCTGTTTCAACATGACGATTCTCACATCCACAAAGCCAGGTCCATATAAATGGTTTTCCAAGTTTTATGTGGAAGAACTCGACTGGCCTGCAGAACTCTGACCTCAAACTCAATCAACAACTCTTGGATGATCTGTCCCGACCACTGCGACATAGGCATTAGGTGAAATATTACACTAAGATTGAAGATAGTGGCATTACCAATTTCACACATTTTTATAATTTGTAGATTGTTTTGTCCTATGGCCCTTTTACGTGCCCATGTGTGGGTTTCATATCGTGTGTCTTTTTAGTCTCCTAAAAAAGAGTATGAAACTAGTGGATAACCCCCAATTTGACTATAAAAGGGGATCTTCTTAAAAAAAAGTATTTTGGTTTTCTCTAATGGAGACAAATGTATTCAGGTTGTTAAAGTGTCATTTTTGAAAATGAAGAACTCAGGGTTGTTATTTAAAAATCAAGGTCAGACAAAAAAAAAACACATTTGCTCTTATTTTGCTATTTTTTAATAACATTAAAGGTGGGGTAGGTAAGTTTGAGAAACCGGCTCGAGATACACTTTTTGTTATATTCCATGGAATGCTCTTAACATCCCGATAGCAATGAATATCTTAAGTGCTTTGACAAAAAATCCATAAAAAAATGTCATCTGTGGAAGCCGTAGTACTGTAAAAAGCACGACCAATCATTTTAGCCGGCCCAGCTAAAATAACTGGATGGCCTACCTGCTTGTCAGCCTTCCATCTGTGCACAGACTTATCCCGTGCCCTCATTGGTCATTGTGCGCGTTCGTGTGTGTTGGAGGAGGGGCTCTGTAAGGAAGTGGCAGATTTTTTCCGGCTGTGTATTTTCAAATTTTAGCGCACTCGAGCTGGTTTCTCCAAAATTACCTACCCCACCTTTAATTTTAATATTTTTTTTAATAACTAGGGGTGTTCAGCAAATATTAACCACTTTTTTGAATCCTGAGTGGATATATT